GTACTTATTATTCTAATTTATTCCACTTCAGTCTGCTGATTCTGTAAACAACCCAGTGCCTACGTGACATTCTGCATGTACACATTTGAGCCATCAAACTCTCTGAAAGAGTCGACTGACTCCACATATAAAAGTTCAAAATAAAACAAAAGTGAAAATCACAAATTCGTCACACTCCCTCCTCCCAGGATGGATCGCCCTCGATCCAACAAGGAAGATTTAACATACATGTTTCTAACTAACAATAGAGCTATAAATCTCAAAACTTGAGACTCCAAAACATGAACAATACAACTCACGACTATATACACTAATATAACACATTATCTCTAAAACAATCAACGATCATAGTCGAGAATGTCTCTTTATGATTACACAGCATTAATCACGAATGTCTGCTGGTGCAGACACAACACAACTGTAATCCTTCAAGTATGTAGGAACATGTCTTCTCCGTGTGGGACGAGGAGGTTTCTTCTCTCTGGATGACTGTTGGAGTTCACTCCTCTCGTGGTCGTCCATAGAGCTATCCTCACTCTTTCTGGGTAACTCTTCTCTGAAGCTTGATTTAGACTCAACAACTTTCCCCTCATTGGCTTTCTTCCTTCTCACTTTGGGTTTTACCTTCTTTGGGGAAGGAGAGCTCAAACTCTCAGAGTCCATCTTTCTCTTTCTCAGGCTCGGGGTTTCATCTTCTATTCTTTTCAAATCAGTCAAGGGTTGCTCTGGTAATGAAGCACATTCTGGTTCTTCATCAGCCGATATCCATCGGGACCAGGTAGCAGGTAGTTTGCACTCAAATGGTTTCAGAAGATTCTGGTGAACCACTTTTGGCTTCCCTGTCTTCTTCTCCTTGATTCTGTAAATCACTGGAGAGAGTCGACCCACTATCTGGTATGGCCCTATCCATCTTGGTTGTAACTTTGGGGACTTGCCAACTCTTCTCTGCTTATTCCGCAACCACACAGGATCCCCAAGTTGGTATACTCTCTGATCGGCAGATCTGTTATACCTGCTCTTCTGTCTTTCTGAAGCTAAGTCCAGTTGTGTTCTTGCCCGTTCATGTACAACCTCCATCCTCTGCCTCAATGATAAAGCATAGTCAGTCTCTAAGGGAGGGAGCACAGGGGTCTCAATCATCTGTTCCATAGGAGCACACATCTCTCTTCCAACCATCATCATGCTCGGAGTTTCTCCTGTGGCCTCATGCACAGAGGTTCTGTAAGCCATAAGGGCTATTGGAACTTGCAAATCCCAATCCTCTTGCTCATAAGCAGGTGCGAGAAGCTTCACTATGTTGTCCACCAGGGTGCCATTATATCTCTCCACGAGTCCATTCGACTCAGGGTGAAAAGGAGTTGTGCGGGTCTTTTCAACACCCATGAGCTTGCAGACTTCTCCAAAGACAGCAGACTCAAAATTCCTGCCTTGATCTGAATGCAGCTGCTTAGGTATGCCCCATCTACAGCAAATTTCATCCACTAGTTTGGAAGCAACTGTTGGAGCCTTCTGATCCGGCAATGGAAATACCTCTGGCCACTTGGTAAAGTGGTCAACACATACAAGCAACACTGTATTGCCCCTGGGTGTGGTAGGAAAGGGCCCTAGTACATCAATGCCCCATCTCTCCATGGGAGCCCCGACTCTCACTTGCTGTAAAGGAGCTTTTCTAGTAGGACGAGGATTCCTCCTAGAACTGCAAATCCGGCATGCCCTGCAATAAGATCGTACATCAGAAGACAACTCTACCCAGTAAAATCTCTCTCTGCATCTAGCCAATGTCCTCTTGACTCCATAGTGTCCTGCTGTCTTGGCCGAGTGACTCAGCTCCAAGATCCTTGGTTGGAGAACTGCAGGTGTCACTACTTGATACTGCTGCTTGCTTCCATCTTCACTCTCCCAAAGACGGCATAACACTCCTTTCTCCATTCTCAAGCGGTCCCATTGATTCCAGAGACTCTTTGTCACAGTCGATTTGGAACTGATCTGCTCCCAAGGAATCTGAGCTTTCCCAGACTCAAACACTTTCAGTAAAGGAGCTAGATTTACATCTTCTCTCTGTGCCTCAGCTATTCGCTCCAAGGTCCATTCAGGTTTCAAGGAAACTGCCAAAACAACATCATCCAGAGTATCATCTGCCTCTGTGGTAACACACTGTCCATTACAGTGACTGCACTGTTTACAGGGAACTCTGGACATCAAGTCTGCGTTCTGATGCTTCTCACCAGGGCGGTATTCCACCTCATACTGGAACTCTTGAAGACTCTGGATCCACCGAGCCAGCTGACCCTCGGGCTCCTTAAAGTTCACAAGCCATCTAAGTGAACTGTGATCAGTCCTCAAGCGGAAACGCACACCATAGAGGTATTGTTTAAAATACTTGGTGTAATTCACTACCGCTAACAACTCTCTCCGCGTAACACAGTAATTCCTCTCCTGTCTGTTCAACCTCTTACTGGCATAATAGAGCACTTTTTCCTCCCCGTCTTGCTCTTGAGACAGGACAGCTCCAATAGCTTCTAGGCTCGCATCGGTGTCTAGGATGTATGTACAGCCGTTTTGTGGATAACCCATGATAGGTGCAGTTACCAAACGCTGCTTGAGTTCATCCATCGCCTTCTGGCAATCATGGGTCCAAATGAAGACTGCATTTTTCTTCGTCAAGTCATGAAGTGGTCCAGCTATGTGGGCAAAATCTTTGATGTGACGGCGGTAGTAGGATACCCCTCCCAGGAACTGACGTACCTGCTTCAATGTATTAGGAATGGGGTACTGCAGGATTTGCTCTACCTTTGCAGGATTGGGAGTAACTCCATCTCTTGAGACAATATGTCCGAGGAACTCCACTTTTCTCCGGAACAAGGAGCACTTAGAGGGCTTCAACCTGAGTCCTGCTTCTCTGAATCTCCCAAATATCTCCTGCAGGCGCTCCACGGCAACTTCAAACTTGTCTGCATATGTAATGACGTCATCTAAGTAGACTAAGGAGGTCCGGAGAGTGAGTCCATGTAGCACTTTCTCCATCAGTCTTGAAAATGTAGAGGGAGCTCCTGTCAACCCAAATGGCATCACAACCCATTGATACTGCCCTCCTCGCACGGAGAATGCAGTCTTCTCCCTATCAGCTGGGTCCACCTCCAGTTGCCAATAACCAGAACAGAGATCCAGACTGGAGAAATAATCACAGGCTCCCATCAAATCAAGTGTCTCTGCTATGTTTGGTATCGGAAAGGCATCCTTCTTGGTTACACTGTTCAATTTCCGATAGTCGACACATAGGCGCCATGTCCCATCTTTCTTCTTAACAAGAACAATGGGGGAAGACCATGGACTCTGGCTATCTTCAATCACGCCTCTCTTAAGAAGGTCTTGGATTTGGGAGTCAACTTCCTCCTGGCGTCCTGGGGCCAATCTCCTATAGGACTGCTTTATCGGCTGAGCATCTCCAGTTGGTATACTGTGATGTGCCCAGGTTGTTCTTCCCAAATCTCCATCAGTAGCAGCAAACACATCTTGGTAAGAGTAAAGAAGTCTCTTCACTGCTTCCTTTTGGTGTTCCTGCAATCCTTCAGTGCTTCTCTGCATCAAATCTTGTAAATATTCCGGGAGCTTTATCTCTTCATGAGCATCTGGTGCTTGACTCTCAAGAGCTGCTCCTCTCATCCCATCTTCAGTTTTTATGTCCAGTATATGTGATTCATCTTCCATTACTCTACTGGATAAAGAGTGGTCTAGAGACTCATCCCTCCATGTGACCTGGTTTACTCCTCTGGTCTGCCCTGGCATGGTATACACTCCAGCTATGGAAGATGTAAAATGGCCTATCAGTCTTCCTTCTCCAACATATAAGGGTAGTGGTGAGTCATTCCACACTTCGGCAGAACTCAGGCCATTCTCTGTATGAATTAATCCACTCACCAATTCCAAGTCTCGTGTAGTCCATTTAGGAGCTTGTTCCAGCACTCCATCCAGGTTAGAGTCTTCTGCTCCTTCTACTCTCAATGTCACCATTTGTTTGGAGAATGGGGGCACTTCTACCCCTTCTGCTACAGTGCAGACGAGATAATCCTCTCTCCCACAAACAAGCACAGTTGGATTACAGCTACCCTCTCTCTTGGTATCTGGAGTCGAGACTGCAGGCTCCTGGATAACTGCCTCAGGTGCCATTATAGAAACTCCAGCAGTTCCTCTGGAATCAAGGAGTTTCCCAAGTCCAGGCAAACACTCGCTTGGCTGGTCATCATCTTCTACATCAGTCTCAGGGACACACGTTACCTCGCCTTCATCAGAATCAGTCAGGAGCACCTTTTCCTCTTGTTCCCTTTGTTTCTCACTTGTTTCCTGGGAAGGAGTCGGTGAACTTTCTAGCTTCCTAATACTGGATGGGGATGTCTCTCTCAACAGAGAGCTACTGCAACTCTGGACTTCTCCTTGAGTATTCGCCTCTAATGAGTCCTCCGGATCTTGGAAGTTCATCTGCAGGGAACCATATTTGATGTTGGCTTTACTAGCCATAAGATAATCTGTCCCCAAAATCCCATCCTGGCCAATCTCTGCAATTGTGATGTCGAGGGGAGTGATTCTTCCATCCAAATCTACCTCAAGTTCACATGATCCATATGATGCTAGTGGAGAACCATCTGCTTGAAGCAACACATCTTTTGCTGATTTCAACTTTGGTCTATCTCTGTAGTAAATCCGATTGAAGCTATGCAAACTCATGAGAGAAACCACAGCTCCGGTATCTATCAAGAATTCCATAGTCACTCCACATATTTTCACCATGGCCACTACCTTTCCAACATTATCTGCTCTCTCGGGGTTTGTGACTTCTTGACCACTTCGATCGAGGAAATGAACTGGGTTGACTGTTGAGCTACTATTATCCCTCTCTCTTTTTTTCTTGGGTCTCGGGCACTCAACTGCCATGTGTCCTGCCTCAGAGCAGTTAAAGCAGATAATCAAGGGACATCTCTTCACTGTATGCCCTTCTGCTCCACATTTCCTACAGATGAAGGGTTCTCTCTTCTCTTTGGAGGCCTTTACAGCTCCTGCAATCTCCTTCAGTCCCTCCTGCATCCCCTTCTGGATTCCTTGCTGGAACTCCTTCATCATCTTCAGGAGTTCGTCTCTTTGTGAGTCATCTGTTACGGCTGCAATGTGATGGTCCCGCTGTTTTGGCTTCAGGCCTTTCCGGATTCGCTCTGACTCCAAGTATGCCTCCTCCTTCTGAGCCTCTTCTATGGCCTGATCAAGAGACTTGGGGTCTCTTCGATGCACAGCTGCTCGGACCTCATCATCTGTTATGGCATTCTCATAACATTTCCTGGCCAACCTATCCTGAGAAGAGCGAGGCATCTCAGGATATGCAAGAGCAGCTAATCTCCTTATTAGTGGTGTCAATTAACCGCTTGAGCATTAACCGGTTAACCGGGGGTTTTTACCGGTTAAAGTCGGTTAACCGGCGGGAAATTTGAACTTATAATTTCAAATGAAATCTTCATCTTCGATCTTGAAAGTTGAAAAAATTGGAAAAATGATATATCGGCGTTTATTTTTTACGTTCGTCAAGCTTTACGCTATTCTATGTAAGTAAGCGCGGGAAAGCAATGTGGCAGGGATTAAAGTTGCTGATTGGATGTTTGTAAGGAATTATCGGACCTATCACATGTATGAGTAGCTCACATGAAACTGACGCTTGAAAAACAAACAGATTAAAATGCAAAGTAAGCGCGGGAAAGCAATGTGGCAGGGATTTAAGTTGCTGATTGGATGTTTGTAAGGAGTTATGGGACTTATGACATGTATGAGTAGCTTACGTGAAACTGACACCATAAAACCAAACGGATTAGCATGCAAAATAAGCGCGGGAAATAACAGAATTATACACGGTCAACTAACCGCCCATAAAAACTCAGACCGGTCAAGGCATTATCGGCGGTTAACCGGTTAACCGGTTAATACTTGACACCTCTACTCCTTATGCTTTGACCTAGACTCTGTAAGGACTCCTTGGGCTTCCTCGTCCTTGTATTGAGTTCTGCCTCATACATGGAAGCCTTTTCACCTGGTCCGAATCTATTAGTTAGTGCTTCGATCAGCTCATCATAGGAGTGGCCTTGCTCCAGCTCTTGCACTATCTGCTGGGCATCTCCTCTCAACTGGTTTGTCAACTGTTGCCGCTTCTCCTCATCACTCCATCCATTACTGTCAATGCAGTTCTGGAAATACACCTTGTAATCGAGCCATGGTGTCTTCCCATCAAACAACTGGTTAGGCTTTATCTTGGTCTTTTTCTCAAAGTTGGATGAGCCCAGTGCTTTCACCAGCTGCTCAGTGTTGGCCTTACACATATTCACGACCTGTTCTGTATTTGACTTACACATCTCCATAGCCTCTCCAGCAATCTGCAATGTTCTATTAATCTCTTCAGTTGCAGTGTCTCGAGACTTCCAAGCCAGTTTACCAGGCACCTCTTCCGATGTATTAGGCACTGCGATATTTGGAGCTGGTCTCTTTGTGGGCGTGCCCATTGGTTGAGTTCCAGATCTCTCTGCAGGTATGAAACCTCGATCCTGCCTTCTCAAACTCCATGGTTTGAGCTCTGGGATTTCCTCCATGGGAACCTCACGAGAATTAGTCACAGGAAAACTCCTAAACACTCTTTGAATCATCTCTTGGTCATAAACAGGCATGGGGCGAGAGGAGGGCTGCTGTAGATTCTCTACCCACTCTGCAGTGTCCGATACCTTGAATTTCTCTGGGATCTTCATCTCTAGAAAAGGAGCTTGACTCCTTGGACCCTCAGCTTCTGCCCACTGGTTTTGCTGCAAGATTTCTCTATCTGGTATCTCTTGTTGAAATGGAGGGGGCCTTTCCTCTCTCCGGGGCTGCATAGGTCCTTGTGAGCGAGTTGGACTCCTCTTAGCTGCAGGCCTTAGTAACTTGTCCTCCCATCTGGCCATAGATGATTGAGGATTCTCTTCTCGAGTAATTAAACTCAACCTCCTTGAAGTCTCTCCCAGCAGTTTCTCAGGAGCACCTTCACTCAACATGTCTGCCTCAGTCTCTTTCTCCCTCAAGTCTGTGTGACTCTTCATCGACCTTCTACGTGGAGTTGAGCATCGAGAGGAAGCAATTGAAGGTACTAAGTTCACCAGTGTTTCATGCAATTGTCTCATCTCGAGTTTCATCTCTTCCTGGCCTTGACTCATTTTGAGCTTCATCTCATCTTGGCCTTGACTCATTTTGAGCTTCATCTCATCTTGGGCTTGGAGACTCTGACCCAGACCACCTTTAATACCCAGGACATCCTGCCTCAGGGACTCCACATCTTGTCCCACCTTTGAAAGTTCCAGCTGCGTCTTCTTTAGAGAATCATCTCTTGATGTGGGCTTCTTGGCCATTCCATGATCACTTTTGATCTCTGTGGAAGTAACAGGGAAGGGCTGGTCCTGTCTGCCTAGTACTCCAGGAGTACGAAACTTGGAGGGAGTGAACTCACTCTGCATCCTGGACTGCATCCTGGACTCTGACCAATACCCAGTACTGTCTTGGGCCACTCTCTGCCCTGGTCTCTGTTCAGGAACATGCAAAAATCTCTCTGTTCCACCCATGGCACCATACTTCTCTGGATTCAGACCCGAGTCCCTTAGCTCCAAAGGAAGAGTATCTTGGGTCTCCAGCTCCAGGTTTCTGGGGCCACCTTTAAACACAACTGTATCATCTGGCTCTTGTGTCCTTCTGGTTATCCCCTTTGGGATAACCCCAGGGTCATCAATCGAGCCATCATGCTCCGAAGTTCGGGGGCTTCTCTCTGCCTCCATCATCTCAATATTCCGCTCCATCTCTAGGAACAGTGAAAAATCCCACCGCTGCCACCAATGTCGCGCGCCAGACTCCCGCCGAGTACCCGTACTCCCTCGGAGAAGGTCTGGTGGCGATGATAAGGGATTCGGAGGTGTTTATCACGGGCGCCGAGCTGGTTTGGTGCTTCAGCTGTCACTGAGCTAGGAGATGGAAAACACAATGTAAAAAACAATCAATTACGGGATTTTAACAATCTATTCAACACTATAATTACTATAACAATCAATTTCAAAATGTCCTCAAATGCCTTTATGGCTAGCAATACAAATACAAATGTCTCTATGTATAAGTATGAGTTCAAAACACTCTGGCTCTGAGTTCGTCCGTCTCTACTCTACTTTGCCATACTCTGCTTTCTGCTCTGCTTGTCTGCTCTGCTCTCTGCAATACTCTGCTCTGCTCTCTGCTATACTCTGCTCTGCTCTGCTTGAAAAGAGCTCTCCCTCTTAAGCTATCTCGTCTTTGGGAAAGAGCCCTGGCTCCGGAAGTAACCTCTGCTTCGGGAGTCGCCTTGTCACGGGAGTAACCACCTTTAAACTCTCCTCAAAAGAGTGCTTTCACTCTTTGAGCTACACTGTCTCTTGGAAGGGGTTCAGGCTCCGAGAGTAACCTCTGCTCTTGGAGTCACCACTTCTCAGGATATACCTCTCTACAACCTCTGCTCAATTCACTCTTGAGCTACACTGTCTCTTGGAAGGGGTCCAGGCTCCGGGAGTATCCTCTGCTCTTGGAGTCGTCACTTCTCAGGAGAAACCTCTGCTCTCCAACGAGATCCACACACTGGGAGTACCTCAGCTCCGGGAATCGCCTCGTCTCAGGAGTAACCTCTACTCTTGAACGAGATCCACACACTGCTAGTACCCCAGCCCCGGGAATCGCCTCGTCTCAGGAGTAACCTCTACTCAAAGAGTGCTCTCTCTCAATGAGCTATACTGTCTCCAAAGAGTAACTTCTACTCAAAGAGTGCTCTCACTCAATGAGCTACACTGTCTCCAAAGAGTAACTTCTGCTCTCGGAGTCACCGCTTCGCAGGAGCAACCTCACTACAACCTCTGTAGAGAATAACAACTCTAGAATGTCGATCAAAGGATGAGATTAGACAGAGCTGTTATCTCTCGCCTTGGAGCACCTCAGTTCCGGTAATGTAACCTTGGCTCCGATGAGAGTAAACCTTCCTCAACATACAACCCTGGGTGAGAGTCAGATCGCCTCAACAAAGTAGGAGCATTTATAGCTTGGAGGGGTAATGACTAGGAGCCACCAATACTCAGAGCAGAATGACTCACGAATATCGATCAAAGAAATGAGATTAGACAGAGCCAAATAAACTCAAAATGACGTCACTTCCTTCATAATCAAAGATGGCCGACCGCCGGGAATTGTGGGAACAAGAAAGCAAGATGGCGGACAGCTAATTACCCATTTTATGCCAACCTCAATCAAGAAAATGGCTAACTCACCAAAACACTGGCTGTTGTCTTGTATTTTCTTCAATAGTCACACCAAATACAATCTGCATCTAACGATTACTGCAACTAATCCAATATATCCAAAATAATGCTCCAATAAGTCTACAGATTAAATAAACACGCTTGCACATAAATAAATCCAAACTGACGAGGTGTTGTATCTTCAAGATCTTGGTTTACTCTGATTCACGTGGTTAATTGCAAACATTAAATCCAGACACCTCAAGTTGCATCATGGGAAAACTACAACTTAAGTTGGAGGGAAATTCAAATAAAAGAATCTGATTGGCTGATCACCGGTTGCTGGGTACTTATTATTCTAATTTATTCCACTTCAGTCTGCTGATTCTGTAAACAACCCAGTGCCTACGTGACATTCTGCATGTACACATTTGAGCCATCAAACTCTCTGAAAGAGTCGACTGACTCCACATATAAAAGTTCAAAATAAAACAAAAGTGAAAATCACAAATTCGTCACAATATCATAAATACACACCTTATTGAGTTGTTTTGGTTTATATCACAACATATTTAGCATACTGTGTATATTAATTCGTCAATTAAATAGTAAATTTTCCCTTGAATAAATCTATTTTCAAGATTAGTTAGATTTCATAGCAGAGATTGTCTGCATCCCCTCTTTCCGATCACTGGGTGTGATAATATTAAATATTTAGAGATCCAAAACCTTAATTAAAAACACAACTGATGCCATTCCTCCGTACCAAATGCCTTTTTCTCAAACCTTTTATGATCATCAATAATGGAGAAGTGGCCTTTTGAAAAAATCAGACTACAAACTGAATAACAATACCTGGAGAATACTAAGGCATTTTATCTTAATATTTACTGTATTTGAATAACTCTAAATGTACATATTAACATGGAAATGTGATTATTCCGTTAAATGTTGATATGATCCAGAAAACTATTATTTCACCTAGTTCATTATTCATACTATCAACAAGTCAATAAATATTTCAACATTATCTTATTTATTTAGATGTTTTTTTTATGTACACGCACCCCTTAATTTGCAATTCATTACTTACTAGCACTGTAGCACTTGTATATAAATTCACCACAACTCTAATTCCAAACATTCTTATTATCTAAGTGGATTGGTCCGGACATCAGAAATGGTAAGTCTGCTTCTTGGTTCCTGTCACATTGGGTACTTCTTGAATAAGATTAAATGCAGTCTTGACGTAAAAAATATCTGAGTAGAATGTATTAATTAAAAAATGTAACTTAGACAGAGGATTGTCAGGGATGAAAGTAATACAATGTTTATCAACTCAACGTAAAGTATAATTTGTCTGGTTTAGTCATTACGAATGGCCATATGATGTATTGTAAGTGATTTTAGACAATAAAATATTTCACCCTTTCTTTCCGGCCATAAATACAGTGCTTTTTATTAAAACAATATACCTTGCAAGCGAAGTCCCCATGATAAAATATCAGTCCAATCCTCTGAAAATTATGGATTAGGACCCCACTTTGGCATTTTTAAAAAATGTTAGGCTTATTTTATTAAAAAGGATCTTGTTTCTCTCAATAACATATTAACACGATATTAACAACTTTTGAAAAGGGGATGGGTTTTGAAATGCGCTAAAATTTAAAACCACATATCCTATG